TCTTGAGTAATGTAGTGAACTTGGACCCCAAGTATCTTAAAAAATAAGCACAGGGACAGGGTTGCCCTGACATGTCTCTGTCCACTAATTATAGCCTCTTGTAGTATTACCGGAAAAAGGTCTTTCATAATGGCATGAATGAAGGTTCTGGTGCTGAATTATTTGAAGTGAAATATAGAGGGCGCAAAGTGCACGAGACACCTCCGTGAAATATCATAGCTACAAATGGAGGTTATTCTGAATTTTGATCATGGGATAATGTCTTTTTTGGGTAAATGATCATGGGATAATGTCATATTTCACCGTAAAACAATCCCAACATATAGTTCTTATTACTGAACCTACTTCAGATTTTGCAGAAATGTTTGGCATTTTCACATGGGCCGCGATCAAATTAAAATCTATAGAATTTTTTATGTTTCTGAGCTCAAATTGCTTAGCTTCTTTTGAAAAAGAAAACTAATCAACAAGAGTAAACTTCTTGTTGATGAGCTAAACGTATAAAACAGATTAAAAACTTTCATTTGTTCAGTAATCAATAACTCCTCCCACACATGAAAGACATTTGAATTTTAATCACATAGAACTCTTACATAAACACATGTTTCTTTGTGCGTGTGTGTGTGAGAGAGAGAGAGAGATGGAGATGGACTAGCAGTTGTGCACGCCTAAGAGTGGACAAGCAAAAGCAGACCAAGGTAAAATATCATATGCATTATACAAAAAAAAACAAATATCATTCCTCTCTCTCTCTCTCTCTCTCTCTCTCTCTCTCTCTCTCTCTCTCTCTCTCCCTCTATCTCTCTCACTTGTCTGCAGCAACCGAGCAACACCCACTATCCTAAGGAACCTAAATCTAGTCCAACTGCAAGCCCTATCCTGAATAGATCATGCTACAAAACCTCTTTATTAATATTTGTCACATGGCAAAGCTCTTTTGTGGTATATGGCAATTGTTGGAGCTACCAAATACCAATAGCCACACTGATTGGTCCATTTTCACCCATATCAAATTGGCAGGACACCATCATGATTCTAATACTCAGGTTGTAAACAGTTTCCATTTATGGACCTCGACAGCTTCCCTTCGTTTAATCATATGAGTTGTTAGATCATAGTTACAAGTTGGGGATAAGGGTACCATGTCGTGGAAGTGGCCCGATCTCGTGCTATTTTATACGTATAATGTGATAAACAATTAAATAGAAAATAAAATTAAAGCAATGAACATGTGAATTTGCATGCATGGATAGAAATACTACCTACACATCTAATCGTGACCAATCACCTAAATATGATCCCTGATGCAAAAACCCTTGCCACAGAGGTAGACCATGGGTTCATGCTAGGCCTGACCAATTAATTGTTTCATCCTAGATACATGTATCTGATGTGAGGATCATAATGTTGATTGTTGCCATATAAACAGAAAGATTTGATTCTTGGTATAAGTATTACCTGTTCTAGTTGTACCTAAACGGCAGATTTATTAATTTTAAGGCCATTTGACAAAATAAAAACTATAATTAATTAAGAACTTGCAGACAATTTGGAGAAACTATCATGACAACTAAAAAGGCAATACAGTGCACCAGGCTCTTGCCATTGGGGAGTCTACCAAGAGTTGGGTATAAGCCATCTTTACCCGTTTGCGGAGAGGGCTATACTGCTAGTTTTTTTCTTTGAACTTATATTAAGAATCACTTTTGAAACTCCAACAAGCTGTTGGGAATCAAGCCATGGGGTGTGTCTGTCACTATTTAAATTGTGAACACGTTATGTAATTAGGATTTAATATTATATTATCAGAGATTGATAAAATACAGGTACTAACCATATAAAGCAAAGCAAGCCTTGGTAGTTGGTAATGGGCAGGAGAGATCAATCTATATTACTAATGTAATACAATGTCAACTAAAAGTGGCATTTGTCTAGTATCCTAAACTTTTTCTTCCTTTTTTTTCCATCTGATACGTCCATTCCTTTTTTTTTTCCATCTGATACATCCATTCAAGTAGGGGTGTGACTCACATGAATTAGACAGATTAAGAAGTCAACTCGGGATTAATATAAGTTACAATACCATCAAGTTCAATTCGAATTATTTTACCAGAATGTTGTCGATTCATAATTTTTTGAATTTTGGTTGAACTTGAATTATAAATTGAGCAAAAAATCAGGTTTGGTTTAGATTTTATTTTTTATTTTTTTTTTTGGAGACACATAACTCAGTGAAAATCAAATTTAATACAAGTAGAAGAAAAGTCTCTATTTTACTTGGGAATGGATTGAATCCTGAAAAGTTAAAACTCTCACATGTGTAGTGCTTAAATTAAAATTGGTTAAGATATTTTTTCTAAACCTAAAACCAACACTTAAAATTAAAAATCTCTTTCTAAGAATTGGATATTTCTGAGTTGAGCTCGGTTTATCCCACTTAAGTTGCAATGTTATGCCCAACAAAAAAGAACTTACACACCTTGATTTTGTTATTTTCTTAATAACGGATAACTATCTCAACACGTATCGTTTACACTCGAAACTTTAACGCAAAGTTAAAATATTTAAAATCACTTGCAAACCAAGTGCATTGAATTAAATAACACCTCTCTTGCAAGATTCAAATTTAAAACCTTGCGATAGTAATCCTCAAACCTTGCTATTAAAACTATCCTGATCGGTTGAAACTGTTTTTCTATCAGCTTTGAAATGCTTGTAGCATATAACAGTACTGTTGCCCACATCCTAAGAACATTTGGCATCCTTGAACATTAAGATCAAGACATATAGTCCAAGAAAAAGTTTACACAGTCCCAACTCCTTAAACTGTTACATCTCTTTGGAGGTCCTGAGCATTTGGCTATTTAAATTAGGCAACCTTCCATGGCCAAGGCTTTAAAGCTCAAAACTACCATTTTAAACAATTCATTCTGTGAGTGGTTGGCCGTTCGACTGCCTATCCTTCTGGTCTTTGTGGACCATGGTCTGTTTTCTTCACGGATTTTCTTTCACCCAAACTTTCCCTTATCCATTCCTGAGATGGCCCTGTGTGGTTATATAGTAGTCCAAGGACAAATTTATGTATCGCCAATTGATCTTAAATTGAATAGTCTAAGAATATTGCCATTTGGAAACTTTCGTGGTATCGGTCAAAGCTATACCTTAGATGGTTGTGGTCAAAGTTTCTCACCCATAGATTTTTAATCTGTCTGTTTCAATTCAATTTATTTTTTATTTAGCTTCTCTCAGCTTTAGTTCTATTTGTTAGTCCCTGAATATATTTGAGGCGCGCGAGAGAGAGTGTGCAAAGAGTTAGCATCTCACATTAAAAGATTAGGTACTTCCAAAATTGATTTACCTATTTGATGGGTCATTCTATTCAGAACTAATTGATTTTTCATTGGATGCATTAGCGCTGTCCATCAATCATTCCCTCTCTTAATCACACACAAAAATTCACCAAAATAATGCACCAATGGGACAATTGTAGGTGTAGCCCTCTCTCTACACATACAAGTTTCCTACGGGACGGTGTACCTTTCTAGATTTAGAAAGAGCTAGCAGCCCCTTAGAAGATGAGAACTAAGTTGAGAAGTGCACATTTGTGCTTTCCAAGCAAATCCGACTGAATCTGTGATTATTGTGGTCATTTTTTTTGCTTTATTCTCTGTAGTTCTCCATTGTGGCTGTTCGTTTTCTCCTCATTGACAATACTCTAAGACTTAATATCTACCTTTGCATATAGAGAAGTCTATGGTGTTATTTTCAATATCTTATTGAAATTTATTACTTTTTAAAATTTAAATTATAATTTTTTGAGGTATAAATTATAACTACAAAAGCGTAATTAATCTTGAAATATTTTAATCAATTATAGAAGCTATTGAAATGGCCTTTATTTCTCCCGCTTATTCTTCACTAACGAAAGTCTTCTGTTTGCTAGAGCTACCAAACAAAATGGTCAAGTGATTAAGGAGTGCCTCCAGATTTACGAGAGAGTCTCAAGTCAAGTTATTAGTTTCTCAAAGTCGGATTTGGTTCTCTGCAAAAACACGAATCTAGAAGTGATCAAAGAATTGTCTAATGTACTGCAAATTTTTGTTGTGGATTGTCACGATAAATACTTGGGGATTCCCTCTATTGTAGGCAGAACAAAGAGGATGGTCACATTTAGCTCTATTAGTGAAAGAGTGTGGCAAAATATTCATGGGTGGCTGGAGAAGATGCTCTCAAAGGCAAGGAAAGAAATACTAATCAAATCTGTGGCCCAAGCAATCCCATCCTACCCTATGTCATATTTCAAACTCCCCCCAACTTTATGCTCGGAACTCAATAGCCTCATGGCCAAATTTTGGTGGGGAAAACCCGACACGTCAACCAAAATACACTGGCTTAGTTGGCAGAAGTTATGTCAACCCAAATCAAATGGAGGTATGGGTTTCAGAAATATTGAAGTATTTAATCAAAAACTTCTCGCTAAGCAGTTTTGTAGATTACCACAAAACCGTGGTTGGTCAAGTCTTCAAGGCTAAGTATTATCCAAACTCTTTTATAATGGAAGCTCATTTGGGTGGCAATCCATCATATACTTGGAGGAGCATCTTTGCAACAAGAGGTCATGCTGGTAGACGATGGAGAATTGGAAATGAGGTAAATGTCTGTATAAAAGGAGACAATTTTTTTTTTTTTGAAAGGCAACCATTCAAAATATCATTTCGTCAGAAAGTGTTGGATACAATCATTGGACAAAAAAGCCTATAGCTCGGGAGAAGGACAACCCATCCAACTCAAAGGAATTGAGTTCGATAGTTTCCTTGTAACAACCCAATGAGTTGCTCTATTTAGAGCCCTAGGCTTGTGTAAGAACCTTAAATTAAGGACAATAGCAAAGTGCCTAATATCACATACAAAGGCAGAGATTTCCCGCGGTGGAACGTCTTCAAAAGAGCTCAAATTAATCAACTCCAAATTGTCGCTAACCACAGTCGCTTCAAGTAAACCAGTTGTTGAAGCCAATAGGCAAGCTTCTCTGACTGCAACAGCTTCAGAGAAAAGGCTAAAACAGCAGGAATCTTTTTAGCAAAACCGTCCATTATCCTCACGTTTGGCCCTTGGAGGATCAACCCAATAGCAGCAGCACCCTTCTTAAAAGCACCATCACATCGCAAACATAGATCATGAATACTGCCAGGGGGATGATCAAGCCGAGGAGATGAAACCACCAAAGGATCCACATGCCTAGCTATCTCAGTAGACCTTACATCACTCCATTGTTTTTGAGCCCACGGTAGAGTACATATTGCATTTGGTTCATGATGATTGAACACAAAATTATTTCTAGAAATCCAAATAGCCCATGCAAACGTAGCCACTTTCCCCATGACCTCGAGCGAACAGGGAATGCTCCTAATGTCAGCCAAGAGAGACAAATCCCATTGACAAACAGACACATGAGCCTCCAAATCCAGTTTCAAACCCAAATCAGACCCCAACCATACTTTCATTGCCCATTCACATTCAAAAAGGAGATGTTTCACCGTTTCAAATCTCACTCCACATAGTTGGCACCAAGGGGAAGCAGCACATTTTCGCTTAAACAAATTCTCGCGTGTGGCCAAAGCATTATTACATGTTTTCCACCAAAAATGCTTGACCTTTGGGATAGCCAGCATATGCCTGATAACAAACCACGGCTTTGGATGAGGACTAAAAGAGGTATTAGAATAAAAAGAGGAAGAAGGGTCAAGAGAAATGGCAAGGGAGTAACCTGATCAAACTGAATAAACTCCTCTAGGATGCAGTCTCCAAATCCATCTGTCAGAGGCTGGAGTATAAGGAAGTGGAATAGCTAAAATGGCCTCGCTCTCTTTCTCATTAAAAATTCCTCGAACAAGCCCATCATTCCACGCCTTAGACTGGTGAGAGAATAACTGACTGACCCAGATAAAATTACTGTTGTGGGGTCTAGGGGACCGAACAACTCCATCTCCAAGCATAGGAATCCATTTGTCTTCCCAGATATTCACTGTGTTACCATCCAAAACTTGCCCAAAAAGCCATTTATCAATAAGAACCCTTCCTTTAAGTAAGCTGCACCAAACCCAAGAAGGCCTCGCTCCTTTCTTGGCCTTCATGAAGTGGCCTTCAGGGAAATAAATAGACTTTAAGAACCTAGCCCAAAATGAGTCAAGTCTCTAAATCAGCCTCCAGCATTGTTTGGCAAGTAAAGCCCGATTGAATAGGGAAAAATCTTTAAACCCCATCCCCCCTCTTGATTTTGCTTCCACCATCTTGCCCCAACTCTTCCAGCATATGCCACTCTTATCACCACCACCTTCCCACCAAAATTTCCTCACATATTTATTAATCTTTTCACAAAAATTCTTAGGGAAAGACAAAACAGACATAGCATACAATGGAATAGTTTGAATAACAGCCTTAACCAAAACTTCTTTGCCTGCTTGTGTAAGAAAAAGGCTTTTCCACCGTTGTAATTTCTTTAAAATCCTCTCGAGGAGAAAACCAAATAAGTCACTCTTGCTTTTCCATGCAAAATAGGCAGCCCCAAGTATTTGATCCCTCCATCCAAGAGACGCAACCCCATCAACTGACAAAAATAAAGCTTCTGATCATCCGTCATGTTTGCTGAAAAAATAATACCAGATTTCTGACGATTTAAGCTCTGTCCACAAGCCAAACAAAACTTATTAAGGATGTTCATGGCATATGGGATATCTTGTGCCTTGGCTTTGAAGAAGAAAAAGGAATCATCCGCAAAAAACAAATGTGAGATAGTTGGGCTTACTCTCCGAACTTTCACTCCCGAAATTCTTCGTTCCTCCACTCTTTTCTGTACCATCAATGACAAGACATCAACAACCAAACTAAACAAATACGGGAAAATAGGATCACCTTGCCTAATGTCTCTCTGTAGGAAGACTTCACATCTTTTTTCACCATTAATAATCATATGGAAACTAACTGTTCTAACACACTGAATAATAACTCATCGCTCATCAAAACCCATTTTCAACATCACTGCCTCCAAAAAATCCCATTTAATTCTGTCATAAGCTTTGCTGATATCCATTTTAACTGCCACATCAGGAACTTTACCTTTCTTCTTCAATCATATAATGGAGTACCTCATTAGCAATAATGATGTTGTCTTGAATCTACCAATGCGGTACAAAAGCAGCTTGTTGGGGAGAGATAATGGTGGACGTAAAGCCTTCATTCTGTTGGCAAGGACCTTCAAAATACCTCATATTGGAAGTTACAAAACGCAATAGGTCTAAACTAGGATATTCTTTCTTGCGAGGCTTCCTTTGGAATGAGGGCAATATTTGTTCTGTTCAACTCCCTGAGCATAAATCCCCTATCCAAAAAATTTTGAACAACACTACCCACCTCATTCCCAACAATATGCTAGTATTTGTGGAAAAAAATGTTAGGAAAACCATCAGGCCCAAGGGCCTTAAGGACCTCAACTGCATGACAGCGGTCTTGACCTCTTCATCTAGGATCGGCTTAAGCAACTGATGATTCATATCATCTATAATCTTTCTCTCCACAAACCCCAAAACCTCTTCAAAATCTCTTTGCCCCGTTGTAGAAAATAACTCTTGATGTGACCATTCAGCACCTCTTCGTTTTCAATCCACTCATTTTCATCCGTCTTTAGTCTCAAAATCAGGTTACACTGTCTTCGCTAACTCGTAGTGAGATAGAAAAACCTTGTATTTTGATCACCTGACTGCAACCAATGAAGTCTTGATCTTTGTTGCCAAAAGAGCTCCTCCCTTCTCCTAATTCCATCCATATCAGAAATGATCTCCATCTTCTTTTTCAGATTCGCCTCGGATGCCTCTGACATTTGCACTTCAACCAATTGATCCTTGAGCTCCGCCAAGATTCTCCTTTCATCACCAAAACGCAGCCTACTCCACGCCTTAAGCTCCTTCCCACACTTATCCAACTTCTTAGACATACCAAACATCGATGTTTCAGTCGATTCTTCATCCAAGTTCTCTTTAATAATATCCTCACACATTTCATCTTCCATCCAGCAAACTTCAAATTTGAAAAAAAAATTCTTCTTCTTTGACAATGGCTCCAAAATGATGATGATGGAGCAATGGTCCGATCCGACCCTGACTTCATGAATAACCTGCATAAAGGGATGACACATACTCTATACACGATTGACTAATACTCTGTCCAATCTTTCTTGCACATTTGCTATCCCCGGCCTATTATTTGACCATGTAAATTTTGGCCCTTTAAAATCCATATCAAGCAGATTACACACAGAGATAAGACATTATAATTCTTCCATCCTAGTGACCTTACTAGTTCCCCCCCCCCCCCCCTTCCTTCTTCATCAGAGACCCAATCACATTAAAATCCCCAGCAACCAGCCAAGCCCCCTCAATGGTAGAAGCAAGGTTTTTCAGACATTGCCACACTTTCTGCCTTCCGTGAAAGTCATTATCAGCATATAAAAAAGAGTATTGCCATTCCTGTGTTTGATTGTACCATCCACCCACAACATGAATTAGATTCTCAGTCTTCATCATTATACTCAATCGTATATCATCCATCCACCATAATGCCAAGCCACCAGCTATCCCTCTATGTTCAGCATAAGCACCATTCGGAAAGTTAAGACTCCGCCTTAGTCTCTCCAATTTTTGTGATCCATTCTTAGTCTCCTTGAGGAAAACTATTGTGGGATGATGGGTGATGATTAAACCCCTCAAATTATGAACTGTCTGGGGTCGTCGCACTCCTTCACAGTTCCAAATAGAATTAACATGGGGCCTGTAGCTGTTTGAGGCCAGCTACCACCGCCTTTTCTGTAACCATCTCTTCTCTGTCATTTTCTATGGGAGATTTTGAATCTTCAAAAATCCATGTAGACAAATAAATATTTAAATTATTCTCACCCTGTTCCTCCTGGAGCACAGCTGACTCTTGATTTTCTTGCTCTGCCAAAGAGGCAAAGTAGATCTCTGAAAGGGTCAATGGGCGACTTCTTCTCCTGCTGCCTCCCCTAGAGTTCCGAACAACCTTCTTGGACCTCTGCATTTGACATCTAACTGTCGGTTCTCGAGCCTGAGGAGGATCCCCCTGTGAGTTGAAGGCAAGATTAAGTCTATGTTCAAGCAACTAAGAATCCTCACTCTTCTGCTTTTTACTTGATCCCAAATACTCACTGTCCCCCTCCTCAAATTGAGTTTTCCTCTTAATAGCTAGCTCTTGGAACTTCCTCTGTAACTTCTCCTCGGCAAAGCTAGTCAGCCCCAATCTGAGTAATTGAGTCCAAATCCCCCTCGCCCCATTTGATTGGACTTTTGTCTCACTTATGTCTCCATAGGTGTCTGGGCTCTCAGCTGGTTCTATTACAAAGTAATTTCTAACCCCTATGTTCTTTTGGCCAACTGACCTCCATCTATATTGGTAGTTATATGTGGCCCAGGATCCTTTGGGCTTTGGCAATCACCTTTTATATCATGTAAATTGGGCCCTGATTTATTGGGGACAATTCAACCCAAACCCGCCACCTCGTCTGGGTTAGGATCACCTGCACGATCATGCTTGGACTGATCAACAAATGGCTGAAACAATACTGCATTTCCACATGTCTTCTCCCTCTCTGGTCGTACCCTATCAGTAGCTTGTGTCATATCATGTCTCCCTGCAAGAGTGTTAACGCCCATTTTGTCTCTGTCATGCAATCCCCTTGCTTGTAGATCTTCCTCATAGGTCGATGGCCCTTCTTCAACTCTAGCTACCCTCCTCTATAGACCCAACATCTGTTGTTTCTCTTTTTTCTGATGATCAAGTTTGGACCAACTTTCTCTATAAAAACCAGTTTGATTAGGTTGGGCTTGCAGCTCTGGACCAAAAATACCTTGACTACCTGTCTTCCTCCAGGTACATTGGTTTTGGTTATGACCAATCCTTCCACAGACATAGCAGAAATCAGATAATCTCTCATATTTGAAACTTATCCATAGATCGTCTTGTTTCTCACAAGCTAGAAAAAAACCTTTCTTCAAGGGATCGTTGATATCGACTTCACATTGAACCCTCAAAAAATGTATGTGCAGCAGAAGTTCACCCCTATCTCATCCACCTGGATTGGTTCTCCGATCATCTTGCCTATATTCCAGGAATTGCTCTTAGTCATCATATCCATTGGCAAGCCCCAAATCTGGATCCAAAACTCATTTCTAAAAAAAATTATAATCACTCAATGAACATTGTGGGACATATTTCTTCAAAACAAGCAAAGCTCCCATTACTGACCATGGGCCCCTCACCATAGATTTTATCCTTATCCTCCTTATTCTTGAACATGAACATATAGGAATTC